GCTCGGAGGTGGGTGGGAACCAAGGGACGGTGCTCGGAGGTGGAACCAAGGGACGGTGCTCGGAGGTGGGCGGGGGAACAAAGGGACGGTACTCGGAGGTGGGCGGAACAAAGGGACGGTGCTCGGAGGTGGGCGGGGGGTGGAACAAAGGGACGGTGCTCGGAGGTGGGCGGGGGGGGTGGAACCAAGGGACGGTGCTCGGAGGTGGGTGGAACCAAGGGACGGTGCTCGGAGGTGGGTGGGGGGGGTGGAACCAAGGGACGGTGCTCGGAGGTGGGTGGAACCAAGGGACGGTGCTCGGAGGTGGAACCAAGGGACGGTGCTCGGAGGTGGGTAGGGGGTGGAACCAAGGGACGGTGCTCGGAGGTGGGTAGGGGGTGGAACCAAGGGACGGTGCTCGGAGGTGGGTAGGGGGTGGAACGATCTGAAATGCTGGTTTATCTGTTTTTCAAGGAAGCTGTTAGAGATCTAGAAAAATAAAAGATACATAAGAACTTTATTAGAGCTTTTTCACATGTCCAGTGCCCTTTGAAGAGCTAACCATGTTGGATCACTTTTCAGAGGGCATTTGAAAGTCCGTAAATCCGGTGTTGTCACCTTCACACCGCAACCACGTACAATGCATGCAGGTGTGGTTTGTCATGGCACCATAGACTTGTATTGGTCACGTTTGGTGGGGGTGAGGCATTTACAGGGGGAGGGGGGCATCTACAGGGGCATACTGGTCAGGAAGGCTTTTGGAGAGGCAGACTGGGTTAGGGGTGGGGGGCAGGGAGGCAATTGCAGGGCCAAACTGGGCTGGGGGCAAGAAGTCATTTCCATGGATGGACTGGATATGGAGGCGTTTGCCTGAGGTCATGGAGGCAATCATCACCAACCAACCTGAGAACATACATCCCAGGATGTGGGAGAGGGGTTCTCTGACTCTCAGCCGGCTGAGGAGAACCTTCCTGTTTTTTGGAGATCTGAGCTCAGCATTTTCTTATAACTTTCTTTTTATGTTCTTGTTAGCCGCACTTGTTTCCTCCTTCTTCTGTTGATTTTGATTTGTGGAAATGAGGAACCATGATCTGAGGCCGAGACGTGTGCTCCTGACCACTGCGATCTATGGTTGGGATGTGACCTGACCTCTGTGGTGTTTTTTTTTTTTTTTTTTTCCTTTGGCCAGGATGTGTCCTCCTCATTTCTGCAAACTATGACCAGATGTCATAGTTTGCAGAAATCAGGAGGACACATCCTGACCTGCGATATATGGCCCGGGATGGGTCCTGGCCTGGGCCATCTGTGGCCTGGGCGGGGTCCTCCTGGCCTGGGCCGTCTGTGGCCGGGACGGGGTCCTCCTGGCCTGGGCCGTCTGTGGCCTGGGCGGGGTCCTCCTGGCCTGGGCCGTCTGTGGCCTGGGCGGGGTCCTCCTGGCCTGGGCCGTCTGTGGCCGGGGCGGGGTCCTCCTGGCCTGGGCCGTCTGTGGCCAGGGCGGGGTCCTCCTGGCCTGGGCCGTCTGTGGCCTGGGCGGGGTCCTCCTGGCCTGGGCCGTCTGTGGCCTGGGCGGGGTCCTCCTGGCCTGGGCCGTCTGTGGCCTGGGCGGGGTCCTCCTGGCCTGGGCCGTCTGTGGCCTGGGCGGGGTCCTCCTGGCCTGGGCCGTCTGTGGCCTGGGCGGGGTCCTCCTGGCCTGGGCCGTCTGTGGCCTGGGCGGGGTCCTCCTGGCCTGGGCCGTCTGTGGCCTGGGCGGGGTCCTCCTGGCCTGGGCCGTCTGTGGCCTGGGCGGGGTCCTCCTGGCCTGGGCCGTCTGTGGCCTGGGCGGGGTCCTCCTGGCCTGGGCCGTCTGTGGCCGGGACGGGGTCCTCCTGGCCTGGGCCGTCTGTGGCCGGGACGGGGTCCTCCTGGCCTGGGCCGTCTGTGGCCGGGACGGGGTCCTCCTGGCCTGGGCCGTCTGTGGCCGGGACGGGGTCCTCCTGGCCACTGGGAGCAATGAGAAGATGGTGGTGAGCCGTATCACCCAATGCAGGGAAGTCGGTGGTGCTGATGAAGGTATGAAGGATTTGGTGTAATGTCTTCTCCTGCCACCAGGCTGAGCAAGAATATGTCCCTGACCTTTCACCTTGTTGATCCTCTTCAACATGGGGTGGCTAAGCTACAGTTAGTGATAACATGACAACCTGTGTCCTCCTAGAGAACCCCTTTAATGCCTTTTGTTGTGCCTTACAGACCTGACCGTAGTCATGCTGCGCTGGGCCGTCTTCCTGGCGTGTATTGCCGTCTTGTCTGCTGCCGACTACATGGACCAGTGTATGAACGGCACACACCACAAGCAGGATCCGGGCCCCGAGGACGCCTTACATGACCAGGTGAGAAGACTGGGAGATCCTTGGTGTTTATTAGGCAAAATATGAAACCGCAATGCACAGGATGTTCTGAGAGCGGGGATTGGGTGTGCGGGAACCTGGCATGATTGGGCTGCAAGAACCGCTCAAGATTCGGTGTATTAAAATACACAAAAATCAATACTGGAGCTCAAAAAGGCAATCTGATCTCCAAGATATATAAAAGACAATGATCAGAGGGATATTGAGGGGCTGATCAGAGGAGCATTGAAGGTAGTCATGCAGGGGAGTTGATCAGTGGAACATTGAAGGTAGTCATATGGGGGCTGATCAGAGGGGCATTGAAGGTAGTCATGTGTGGGGGGCTAACCAGAGGAGCATTGAAGGTAGTCATGTGGGGGGTTGATCAGTGGAACATTGAAGGTAGTCATATGGGGGTTGATCAGAGGAACATTGAAGGTAGTCATGCGGGGGCTGATCAGAGGAGCATTGAAGGTAGTCATGTGCGGGGGCTGATCAGAGGAGCATTGAAGGTAGTAATGTGGGGGGGCTGATCAGAGGAGCATTGAAGGTTGAGTAGTCATGTGGGGGTTTGTTGATCAGTGGAACATTGAAGGTAGTCGTGTGGGGGGGGGGTTTGATCAGTGGAACATTGAAGGTAGTCATGCGGGGGTTGATCAGAGGAGCATTGAAGGTAGTCATGCCGGGGCTGATCAGAGGAGCATTGAAGGTAGTCATGCGGGGGCTCCTCAGAGGAGCATTGAAGGTAGTCAGAGAGCATTGAAGGTAGTCGGGGGTTCCTCAAAGGAGCATTGAAGGTAGCCATGCGGGGGCTCCTCAGAGGAACATTGAAGGTAGTCATGCGGGGGCTCATCAGTAGACATGTGCAGAACGAAAAAATTAGTTTTGTTTTGATTCGTTATTTAATACAGTTTAGTTAAATTTGTGTAATTCATTTTTGGAATTCGTTTAATTTAGTTTAGTTTTGAATTTTGATTCAAATTTTCCAATTTCGATAAAAATGAATTCCATTCGACTGAATCAAAAAGCATCGAATCGGCTTTTGAAGTTATTCTATCCAAATTTCAGAACACTGTTATATTTTCTATTTTATTCTACTCTGTTTTTTCGATTCTATTCTTTTGTTTTGTAGACTATTCCATTCCTTTATTTTCTCTTCTGTTTTATTCTATCCTTGTATTTTCTATTTTATTCTGCTCTGTTTTACGCTATTCTGTTTTTGCTATTCTATTCTTTTCTATTCTAATCTGTTCTATTTTATTCTTTTATTTTTCTCTTCTGTTTTATTCTATTTTCTCCTGTTTTACTCATTTATTCTATTCCTTTTATTTTTGATTCTATTTTATTCTATTCTTTTTTCCAATTCAATTTTATATTGGAATTCAATTCAAATTTTAGACCCAATTTTGTTTCATTCTTTTGGATTTGTTTACATTTGTTACTATTGTAATTGAAAAATTCAAATACACCCAAATCTCTCAATGAAAAATTTGTCCGAACTTCAATTTGCAACAAAATGAACCACACATGTTTACTGATCATTGGGGTATTGAGGGTAGTCATGTGGGGGCTGATCATTGGGGTATTGAGGGTAGTCATGTGGGGGCTGATCATTGGGGTATTGAGGGTAGTCATGTGGGGGCTGATCATTGGGGTATTGAGGGTCGTCGTGGGGGGGGCTGATCATTGGGGTATTGAGGGTAGTCATGTGGGGGGGCCCATCAATGGGGTATTGAGGGTAGTCGTGTGGGGGCTGATCATTGGGGTATTGAGGGTAGTCGTGTGGGGGCTGATCATTGGGGTATTGAGGGTAGTCGTGTGGGGGCCCATCAATGGGGTATTGAGGGTAGTCATGTGGGGGCTGATTAATGGGATGTTGAGGGCAGTCGTGTGGGGGCTGATTAATGGGATGTTGAGGGCAGTCGTGTGGGGGCTGATTAATGGGATGTTGAGGGTAGTCGTGTGGGGGCTGATTAATGGGGTGTTGAGGGCAGTCATGTGGGGGCCCATCAATGGGGTATTGAGGGTAGTCATGTGGGGGCTGATTAATGGGATGTTGGGGTAGTCGTGTGGGGGCTGATTAATGGGATGTTGAGGGCAGTCGTGTGGGGGCTGATTAATGGGATGTTGAGGGCAGTCGTGTGGGGGCTGATTAATGGGATGTTGAGGGCAGTCGTGTGGGGGCTGATTAATGGGGTGTTGAGGGCAGTCATGTGGGGGCCCATCAATGGGGTATTGAGGGTAGTCATGTGGGGGCTGATTCATAGGGTATTGAGGGTAGTCACGTGGGGGCTGATTCATAGGGTATTGAGGGTAGTCATGTGGGGGCTGATCGTTGGGGTATTGAGGGTAGTCGTGTGGGGGCGGATTAATGGGGTATTGAGGGTAGTCATGTGGGGGCTGATTAATGGGGTATTGAGGGTAGTCATGTGGGGGCTGATTAATGGGGTATTGAGGGTAGTCATGTGGGGGCTGACTATTGGGGTACTAAGGGTAGTCATGTGGGTGATGAACATCCGGGAGGCGAGGTGCTCTGCTCCTGATCCCTGTGCTGCGAGCGCAGTGTTAATGGTGTCCTCTGTTGAAAATGCACATTGCCTGGCCATTATGTTGGCACTTCGAGTGGTCGGCAATCGCTAACCGCCATTCTGCCCCCCGCAGTGCACCCCCTGGAGTGCGAAGTCGTGCTGCACGGCGAACGTCAGCAAGGCCGCCCACGAGGACCAATCCTACTTGTACAACTTCAACTGGAACCACTGCGGGGTGATGAGTGAGACGTGTCGGCAGCACTTCATCCATGACACCTGCTTCTACGAGTGCTCCCCCAACCTGGGGCCCTGGATCAAGTGGGTGAGGATGGGAATGAAATCCTATGGACAGCTGTGAATGTAACGTATAACACAACGTTTGGGGTTGCCGTATAGCACAGTGTTGTAGATTGTAATGGTCTCTGGTGGTTTACAGAACAGCAGTGATGACAATGGAATATAAAACGCATCGTACGGAGTGTGCCTGCAGTGTGGTGTATGGAATGCAGGGGTCAGGAGCATGTAACGTACAGCACAGTCTGTGGGGGTGCAGCGTTCGGTTGTAGGGGTTGTACAGCGGACGTGTATAAGGCGTAGCGGTCAGTTGTATGCATTGTACAGAGTGCAGTAGTCGGCAGTATGTAACATACAGCATAGCATGTAAGGTGCACAAATCGGCAATATGTTTTGTACAGCACAGTGTACAGAGTGCAGTAGTCGGCAGTATGTAACATACAGCATAGCATGTAAGGTGCACAAATCGGTAATATATTTTGTACAGCACAGTGTACAGAGTGCAGCAGTCGGCAGTATGTAACATACAGCATAGCATGTAAGGTGTACAATACGTTTTGTACAGCACAGTGTACAGAGTTCAGCAGTATGTCCTGTAACCTAACCGCATAGTGTCTAGAGCATGACACTGGCTGAGCTGCAGCTGACGGGCATATGTAACATATTCTACAAAGCACAGCAGGCTGGAATATGTAACATACAACATAGTGTTTAGATTGCAGTTGAGTATGTAAAGTATACCGCAACGTACAGAATGCAGTGCCACCAGGGTAGGTGTCCAATACCTGTAAATGAAAGGTGACCCTTCTCCATGGACCACTACCACTTGGAGCATATGCTAGACGTACATACTCCTGATGCGGTACCTTTTTATACCCCTGACTGCTGAACACTATATGCTGTGCTGTCTGTTACATACTTCGTATTAATGCCCTCTGTAAGATGGTGTGTACATCGTATATACTGGACTCCCTGAACTAAGCTGTATCTTATAGTCTTGACTGCTGTAGTCTGCATGCTATGCTGTACATTAAACACCCCTGACTGTTACACTATAAGCTGTGCTGTACATTATATACTCCTGACCACTGCACTTGAAATCTGTTTTCACAATATGTAGCCCAGACTACTACAGTCTACACACTGTGCTGTACATTACACACTCCTGACCACTGTTTTTTGTTTTTTTTTCTTGTATACTGTGCTGCATATTACATATTCCTGATCGCTGCTTTCTGTATACTGTGCTACACATTACATACTCATGACAATTGTTTTCTATATACTGTGCTGCACGTAACGCTGTGCTGCACATGACATACTCCTGACCACTGCTATACATGTATTGTGCTGCGTGTAACACTGTGGTGTACATTACATACTCCTTGGCATTGTTTTGTTTATTGCATTGCAAATTACACACTCCTTACCATGTTCCTGTACTCTGTGCTGCATGTAACACTGTGCTGTACATTAAATACTCCTGACCTCTGCTTTCTGTACACTATACTGCATGTAACACTGCTGTTCATTACATACTCCTGACTACTTGTTTTCTATACCCTGTGCTGCACATTACATACTCCTGACCACTGCCTTCTATATACTGTCCTGCATGTGAACACTGTGCTGTACATTACATTCTCCTATTGTTTTCTGTACCCTGTGCTGCATGTATCTGGATTGCTGTTCCCTGTGCTGTACGTTGCATGCTGCAGACCATTGCACATCATAATCTGTTATATTCCCCAACGCCTTTCACCCATTGGCCAGTTTCTCCCCTCTAATACATAATCTGATTGGGTGATGCTGACCGACGCCCTGCCATGAATCGAAGGTATGAAGTAGAATGGATTGGCCAATGACTGCTCTCCTGAGGACCCATCCATACACCTTGCTGTTGCCTGATGCCGCTCTCTATTGTGAAGGCTGCGGCATCTACCATTGGCCTGGGGTGGAGTGACCCTTTAAGTCTCCATTGCAGGTGGACCAGAGCTGGAGGAAGGAGCGGATAGTGGACGTCCCACTGTGTGTGGAGGACTGTGAGACCTGGTACCAGGACTGCAGCGAGGACTACACCTGTATGGAGAACTGGCACAAGGGCTGGGACTGGAGCACCGGTGAGTGGCGCCATCTACTGTGCCCCCCTGAACCCGCACCACAACAGGGAGCACACGCCCCAAAACTGTATGGGCGTGGCTTCTAGTTTCAATCATTAATTTTGAATCCAACCGTAACAAATCAATACCTTTTTAGATTTACTAAAACCATTCGATGTGAGGGACCACCTATACAACCTAGAGGACATGGGGACTGGGGGTGCAATTGGAGACATGGCGACTGGGGGTGCACTTGGAGACACTAAGATGACACAGGAACTGGGGTGCACTGGAGTCATTGGATGACCTGGGAAATGGGACCGCACTTGGAATTATTGGCGACACGGGAGTCCTTAGATAACATGGAGACTGGGAGCGCGCTTGAAGTCTCTAGATCGGGATTGGGGGGGAGTGCACTGGAGTCATTGGGCCCACTGGAGTCCTTAGATGAGATGTGGACTAGGAGTGCACTTGGAGACACCATATGACACAGGGACTGGAGGTGCAGTGGACTCCCCAGATGATGCATGGACAGGGAGGGCACCTGGAAGCACTGGAGTCCTTAGATGATATGGGCACCCTGTAGGGGTTCATGGAAGGGCACCCTGTAGGGGTTCATGGAAGGGCACCCTGTAGGGGTTCATGGAAGGGCACCCTGTAGGGGTTCATGGAAGGGCACCCTGTAGGGTTCATGGAAGGGCACACTGTAGGGGTTCATCGATGACATGGGGACTGCGACAAGGAGGGCATTTGTAGTCACTGGGTGCACTGGAGACACTGGATGACACAGGGAATGGGGCACACGGGTGTCACTGAGCTCATCAGAGTCCCCAGATGACACATGGACAGAACACTGGAGTCACCAGATGATACGTGGACATGCAGTGCCCTAGGTGTCACTGAGCACACTGGAGTCACCAGATGACCTGTGGAAAGGAAGGTCACTTGGCATCACTGGGCACATGGGAGTCCTTAGATGATCTGGGGACTGGGATTTCTCTTGGAGACAATAGATGGCAGAGGGACTGGGAGGTGCTCTTGGAGTTACCAGATGATACATGGAAAGGGAGGGAGGGCACTTGGAATCCCTGGAGTCCTTAGATGAGATGGGCACCCTGGAGGAGTCCTCAGATGGGCACCCTGGAGGAGTCCTTGGATGACATGGGGACTGGGACAAAAAGGGTACTTGAAGTCACTCTTTGAACTGGAGACACTAGACGACACGAGAACTGGGGGCACACTTGGAGTCACTAGATAACACATGGACAGCAAGAGCACTTGGAATCACTGGGCACACTGTAGGGGTTCTTGGATGGGTACACTGTAGGGGTTCTTGGAAGGGCACACTGTAGGGGTTCTTAGATGACATGGGGACTGCAACAAGGAGGGCATTTGTAGTCACTGGGTGCACTGGAGAAACTGGATGACACAGGGACTGGGGCACATGGGAGTCACTGGGCACATCAGAGTTCCCAGATGACGCATGAAACAGGACACTGGAGTCACCAGATGATACGTGGACATGCAGTGCCCTAGGTGTCACTGGGCACACTGGAGTCACCAGATGACCTGTGGACAGGAAGGTCACTTGGCATCACTGGGCACATGGGAAGTCCTTAGATGATCTGGGGACTGGGATTTCTCTTGGAGACAATAGATGACAGAGGGACTGGGGGGTGCACTTGGAGTTACCAGATGATACATGGACAGGGAGGGGACTTTGAATCCCTGTAGTCCTTAGATGATATGGGCGCCCTGGAGGAGTCCCTAGATGGGCGCCCTGGAGGAGTCCCTAGATGGGCGCCCTGGAGGAGTCCCTAGATGGGCGCCCTGGAGGAGTCCCTAGATGGGCGCCCTGGAGGAGTCCCTAGATGGGCGCCCTGGAGGAGTCCCTTCCTAGATGGGCGCCCTGGAGGAGTCCCTAGATGGGCGCCCTGGAGGAGTCTTCGGATAAAATAGGGACTGGGACAAAAAGGATACTTGAAGTTATTCTTTGAACTGGAGACACTAGATGACACGAGAACTGGGGGCACACTTGGAGTCACTAGATAATACATGGACAGTGAGGGCACTTGGAATCACTGGGCAAACTGGAGGAGTCCTTGGATGACACGGGGACTGGGAGAAGGATGGCACTTTGTAGTCGCTGGGTGCACTGGAGACACTAGATGACACAGGGACTGGAGCACACGGGAGTCCTTTGGGTGACATGGGGACTTGGACAAGGAGGGAACCAGATAAAATGGTGAGTTGGCACTTTTTGGAGTCACTGGATGACACTAGGACTGGGAGCACGCTTGGAGTCCCTGGGCACACTGGAGACACAGGGTACCTAGAGGCAGGAGATGAGGGCGCAGGGGATACAGGTAGGTACTGCAACAGGAGATCCCGGCTGAAGGGTGGTGCCATATTGTTTGAAGCTCTCCACAATCGAAAAGTGGCACCAATCGGTAGATCCCAAGAAGTGCTGGTGGCCATGGTCCAGGGATGGGACCCAACACTGGATCCCAGGAGAGGTGAGTGGTACAGCAGGCAGTAAAGCATTCTAAAGTCGTATCTTCCAATATGGCAGCCGGGGTTGTGTCACATGACCGTTCTCACACCCTTCTTTTGCGCACAGGGACGAACAGGTGTCCGGCCGGGAAGAGCTGCCGCAAGCTCACCGCCGTCTTTCCCTCCGCCATGGATTTCTGCGAGAAGGTCTGGAGCAACTCCTACAAGTACACCACGCACAAGCGCAGCAGCGGGCTCTGCATGCAGATATGGTTCGAGGGCGAAAACCCCAACGTGGCCGTGGCCAAGTACTACGCCGACCGCCTCAACTCCGCTCAAACCCCGCGCCCGCTGTCGCTGCTGGCCCTCCTGGGGCCTCTCTGCGTCTTCTGGGCCTGGTAAGGATCTGGGCTTCGTACGGCAGGACACCGGGAATGTAAACGTGGAACTGGCTGGGCCAACAAAAATGGTGACTATACCAGGGGTTATGTCCTAGCGGAGGACTAGGGACGTGCACCTGTGCACCCTCCTGCTTTTCGGACGCCACTGTCAAACTGACAAATCACGAATGAACCGACTCGCACCAATTAACCAAAATACTTTCCTGATTCTACATTCTCCTCCACTGCCTCTCGAAAAAAATTACAAAATAATAAAATGTGTGGTTGCTGGCTCCACCTTCCACGGCAATGAGTCTCACTCCTCCCGCTGTATTCTCCAGGATGGTAAACAAGTGGAAACCATTACAGGTTGGCTGGTGGGAGGAGCCGGGAACCTCACTGCTTGACACCCTGATAAGGCCAGTAGAATTCACCCTCCACCAGTCTACACCCTAAATGGTACTCTACCCAAACTTTTGTTTTGAGTGGAGCCCCACAGGGTTTGATGCCCACCAATGGGGGGAGCGCTCTTGCTGTCTTTTTGGCTCTGATAGGAAGATTTCCCCCCCCCCCCCCCCCTCTGAACTCCATGGAATGAAAGGCTGACGTTCCCTATACTGGGACTGTGTACTCTGTGTGGTCCTATGGACAGACCTTCAGGGGGCAGCAACAGGGACACTGCATTACCAGCTGTGTGGTGTCATCACCCCCCCTAGTGGACGCTCCATAGGAATATATAGGTAAGTGCACTCCAGCTGTGTGGTGTCATCGCCCCCCCCTAGTGGACACTCCATAGGAATATATAGGTAGTGCACTCCAGCTGGGTGGTGTCATCACCCCCCCTAGTGGACGCCCAATAGGAATATATAGGTAGTGCACTCCAGCTGGGTGGTGTCATCGCCCCCCCTAGTGGACACTCCATAGGAATATATAGGTAGTGCACTCCAGCTGGGTGGTGTCATCACCCCCCCTAGTGGACGCCCAATAGGAATATATAGGTCGTGCACTCCAGCTGGGTTGTGTCATGGCCCCCCCCGTGGACCCCAGTGGTATGCTCCCATAGGAACCCCCCCTAGTGAGCCCCAATAGTAGTCGTGCACTCCAGCTGTGTGGTGTCATCACCCCCCCCCCCAGTGGACGCCCAATAGGAGTATATAAGTAGTGCACGCCAGCTGTGTGGTGTCATCACCCCCCCCCCCCCCCTAGTGGACGCCCAATAGGAATATATAGGTAGTGCACTCCAGCTGGGTGGTGTCATCACCCCCCCCCCCCTAGTGGACGCCCAATAGGAATATATAGGTAGTGCACTCCAGCTGGGTGGTGTCATCACCCCCCCTAGTGGACGCCCAATAGGAATATATAGGTAGTGCACTCCAGCTGGGTGGTGTCATCACCCCCCCTAGTGGACGCCCAATAGGAATATTTAGGTAGTGCACTCCAGCTGTGTGGTGTCATCGCCCCCCCCCAGTGGACGCCCAATAGGAATATATAGGTAGTGCACGCCAGCTGGGTGGTGTCACTGTCCGTCTCCCCCCCCCCCCCCCCCATGGATGCTCCATAGGAATATATAGGCAGTGCACTCCAGCTGTGTAGTGTCATCACTCACCCCTAGTGGACGCCCAATAGGAATATATAGGTAGTGCACTCCAGCTGGGTGGTGTCACTGCCCCCCCCAGTGGATGCTCTATAGGAATATATAGGTAGTGCATGCCAGCTGTGTGGTGTCATCGCCCACCCCCCCCTAGTGGACACTCCATAGGAATATATAGGTAGTGCACTCCAGCAGGGTGGTGTCATCGCCCCCCCCCCCCCCCCCCCAGTGGATACTCCATAGGAATATATAGGTAGTGCACTCCAGCTGTGTGGTGTCATCGCCCCCCCTAGTGGACTCCCCATAGGAATACATAGGTAGTGCACTCCAGCTGGGTGGTGTCATCGCCCCCCCCCTAGTGGACTCCCCATAGGAATACATAGTGCACTCCAGCTGTGTGGTGTCACCCCCCCCCCCTAGTGGACACTCCATAGGAATATATAGGTAGTGCACTCCAGCTGTGTGGTGTCATCGCCCCCCCTAGTGGACACTCCATAGGAATACATAGGTAGTGCACTCCAGCTGGGTGGTGTTATTGCCCCCCTAGTGTAGTTTTGGGTGGAGATGGCCTTTCAGTGATAGAGTAGTAGTAACCTCCAACTGAACATAGTGCCAGGTCCCAGTTGATTTCCCTCCCCCCCCCCACTCCTGCACCAGCTGGAACATTTCCAGGAAGAAGTGATGTCCGTGTTTTGTAAGAGAACTCCGAATAAAACACAACCGGGGAATAAATTCTTCACATGGAAATGGTGTCACTGCCTCGGACTCTTCATTTCTGTATCATCATATTGAAGGAAACAAAAAGGTTATAAATCATGGGGGACATCAGAGTGTAAGCTCCTCTGGTACAGAGACTGATGTGACTGTGGGGGGGGGGGGGGCATTAGAGTGTAAGCTCCTCTGTACAGAGACTGATGGGACTGTGGGGGAGGGGACATTAGAGTGTAAGCTCCTCTGCACAGAGACTGATGGGACTGTGGGGGAGGGGACATTAGAGTGTAAGCTCCTCTGTACAGAGACTGATGGGACTGTGGGGGAGGGGGGGACATTAGAGTGTAAGCTCCTCTGTACAGAGACTGATGTGACTGGCTCAGTGATCTCTGTACAGTGCTGGGTTTACTGCAATGCAATAGCATGAACATTAACATGATAATATCACCCCCCCCCCCCCCCCACAGCTGCTTTTGATCACATTTTTGAACAGGTGTTACAGAAAATGTGCAAAAAAAGAAAAGACAGAAGGGAGCAGCTGGATTTATTATGTATCAATTTGCAACTATCATGTAACAATTCCAAACATTTCACTAGCCATTGCTTCTGTTTCCTGTGCCAGTACTGCCATCTATTGTTGATTAAAAGTTAGTGCAGACAAAAACTTAATTTCTTGTTTATGAGGGGTTTCCACCATCCCTGTGCTGAGTTCCCGGGTCTGTACGCCCGCTGTGCCCATTATGAGGGGTTCCCACCATCCCTGTGCTGAGTTCCCGGGTCTGTGCGCCCATTGTGCCCATTATGAGGGGTTCCCACCATCCCTGTGCTGAGTTCCAGGGTCTGTACACTCGTTGTGCCCATTATGGGGTTCCCACCATCCCTGTGCTGAGTTCCTGGGTCTGTACACCCGTTGTGCCCATTAGGGGTTCCCACCATCCCTGTGCTGAGTTCCTGGCTCTGTACACCCACTGTGCCCATTATGATGGGTTCCCACCATCCCTGTGCTGAGTTCCTGGCTCTGTACACCCGCTGTGCCCATTATGATGGGTTCCCACCATCCCTGTGCGGAGTTCCTGGCTCTGTACACCCGCTGTGCCCATTATGATGGGTTCCCACCATCCCTGTGCAGAGTTCCTGGCTCTGTACACCCGCTGTGCCCATTATGAGGGGTTCCACCATCCCTGTACTGAGCTTCTGAGTCTGTTCTAATGGACCTCAGATGTCTCCATAAAGAGGACCTCCCCCCCCCACCTGTACACCTATGTAGACGATGATTGCTCCACATGTGAGGTATCACCAGAAACGTTGGGGTGAGACCCCCTGCAAGTGTTCTCTTTTTTTGAACCCAGAGTCCAACTTTAAACCCCCTCAAAGCATTATTGGAAAGTGAAAGCGAAGGTTGCGATGTCAACTCCCCTGACAGAGGTCCTCGGCCCACACCCTGCCTGTGCCGGTGATGTCATCGCTGGGACTATGCAGTCACTGTGGACCACAGAGGACCTCCTTTTAGTATAGGGTATGTACTCCGTGTACTGATATTTAGAGGTAGGTACCTTCTCTACGGACCTGGGATCACCTTGGGTAAAGGACACATGGAGGTCCATCATGGATGTGAAACCGGCTGCACTGCCAAACAGAGCTGTCACTCAAATAACACTCTATAGCACTCTCCTTTGCTCCTCCCCCAGCATCTACAGGATGTCTAGGGAGGTGAGGGGGGAGGGATGGAGGAGCTGGGCCAGCATAGACAGTAATTAGACACTCGCTGGAGGCCGCCAGTTTGACACCCTGTTCTAGAGCATTGGCAGCCCATCATTTTCAATGGGCTGCCTTAATGCACTAACATAACATGCGTTAGCACAACACGAAAAAATGGCAGTGGGTACATGTACAGAAAGGTCCCCCCCCCAAACTTTCTATCCAATCAGCACCGACCTCGCCCCTGGTCTTTTCTACCAACCATTGGGTGACACTGAGGAGGCTCCCTTTTATACCAGTAAGGGCAAAACATTTTCTGGCCTCACTGATTGGTTCATTGGAGGTCACATGGCTCCCGGAAATCCCTTTGGAAAGCCGAACTGCCAAAAATAAAACTGAAACTGGGATTTGGCTCAGGACATTGGAATTCGTGAGATTCGCTCTGAATTAATCGCCATCCGAATTTCGGGATCGGCTCTATTTTTCTTTGTTTTCTGCAATTGCAGTTTAAAGACATTTCGGAGTATAATAGATCCTGTTTTCTAGCCTCCTCCATTGGCGTGCACCCCTCTGCGCCTGATGTCACAATGCAACTGTTATGCTATGTATAGAAATCTGGCTCCGGGCCCCTCACACAGCTGTTTTGTGCACATCAGGTGCTGTCAATCATAGGAGGGGGAGGAGCCTGGGGCTCCAGCCTGGGGTTAGAAGGTAACATCATCTGTGGGGTGTCCATCATTTCTGCTGGAAGTGCAGAAACCCAACTGGTGGAGAACGTTGCACTTCCTCAAATATAAAATCAGATTTTAGAAAATATCTCACATCGGTTGAGGAACAATATTTGGCTTTCGGCCACCAAGAAGGTCACCAAGAAGGTCACCATGAATCTTCAAAATCCTGGAGTCCATTAAGTGCTTCCGAATCTGAAACTTAATCAGCTGTGCAATGAGTAGGAAATGGTTAGAATTTTCTGCTTTGGTGACAACTCCAACGTTTTGGATAATGGTCACCAGGACCGAGAG